CGATTTCTTACTATTAACGATTCGACCTACAAACGATCGGTTCAAAGAACTAAAAAGTCCTTCGCTTCGCATCTAGCGGTATTTACGGCAATCGTTGAAGGTCGTGACCCTCGGATAATTTTAGAAATTCGTTCGTTTGCGAGCGCCAATCCTATTTAATGGAAAAAGGAACTGCGAACAAATAAGGTTTACCACAGTTTCTTTATAAAAATGAAATTAAATATATTTTTTTTTCGTGTCGTATTTAGGTACCGACTCTTTTAGTAGTTCCATATTTATAAATACAGTAATGAAAAATACGATAAGTTTCTTTCTTCTTACCCAAGTTCTTTCGACGTAACGTAGTACAAAACATGAAAAATGCTGTATTAAATGCGAAGAAGCATTTATTGCAATTTATTTCATCCGTCGAAAGAATCAAATTCCGTTGCCCGAGGATAAATGCAAAAAGCAAAGAAAGTACGACAAAGATTTACAAAGACAGTTACGCGAGGACGAGCTTAAATTGAATTAACAATCGTGGCGGTTTTTACCATTATCGTAATAATATTTCAGTCGGTGATGATTTCGAACGTATAAATAGGCCTATACCTAAATTTTCTATAATCGTATACGCTCTTTCGTCAATTATTAATGTAGACTCTTGCGTTAATTGGCAGCAACGTACAGTACAACCGAACGAGTCGCGTGTTAGAGAAGTTTCGGAATTTCGTCGGACGTAAATAGTCGGAAGTGGATAAAGAATTTATGCAAATTACAAATTATATTCAGATAATTGAGCCTTACTCGAGCTCCCCAAGCTAGGCTGAATTATCTTTCGGTTGTTTATAAGTAGAACCGGTATTGAAGTTAATTGGTTCGCGACTCGTCTTTCACTGACGTGTCCGAAATGCTACCTTTAATTTACATTTGATTGATCCTAAGTTTTGAAGCCAATAATTAATATTAAATTCTGTCGCTTCGCCACCCATCCGAATTGCCCGTAATTACATGAAATTTCTAATAGAAAGCCAATGCGCGTGTTGTACAGAACAGTACGCGGGATGGTAGCCACTTCGAGGATATAGGCCTATTTATTTTGACGCTCTAATGAACTTTGTTTTTTTTTTTTAAATATATGCAGCTTACATTCATTTTCAATTATGTGGAATTGACAGTTTAACTTAATTAAAAATTAATTATTACATTTTGCTTATAATTAAAACTAATGTTTAATCACTGTTAACGGGTACAATATTTTAATTAATTTCATTCGACGACGTTTTTAACGCATTTTAATTTTCAAAAAGCGATTTAAAAAAAAGACTTATTCGGAATAATAAAATTTGTCTTACTAATCGATTGTCATATTTTAAATGGAGCAAAACTGCAGTGGAGCGAATATTGTATAATTCTGTAATTTGTAGTACGGGGTGCTTCTATGCCGTTAGTCACTGGGTAATTTTCTCAGTAATCTTGTCAGAAGTTCTAGTTTTTTGAATAATAGGTTAGATACAGGCCTATTCGAAACGGATCTACAAACGGGACGAACAGTCGATAAAACTATTTTAGATAATCTTTAAGTAATATATCAATTAGTAAGAGATAAATTTCATCTCTCTCGGAGCTGCTTTGTAATAAATATTACGTAACACGAAACGACTTCATAATACTTTCGCTGCTTAATTAATACAATACTTATAAAACAATGGAGAATATTTGGAAGTATCCTTGACTCGTTTCGATATTGTTTTGGCCCACTTATTCGTCTAAGCGGAAATATCCGGTCCATCCAGCCATACATCTACTTAGACAATACGTTATATATTTTTTTATTGCCTACTGATCTCACTTATCGACTTATGCATAAATTACAGCTGGTCTAATTCCTATGCAAAAACTGAGAACAAAACTATAAAAGTGTTTCGTTCATTCTAAATACGGTATATTTAGAATGAATTTCTCCTCATACATTATATAAGGGGAGAAACTGAAACGATTAATAGAAGAGAAATCATAAATAATAGTCGATTCGAGAAGCAAAAACTCTTCTTCGCCTGGTTTGGAAAGATCACAGAATATCCGGCTAAAGTGAAATCCTAAATTATTTCCAGCTTTATTCTAGATGTAGTGGACAAAGCCCCAATTTTAAGTTTTCTTCTGGCTTCCGTCCATCCGGTTTTGGAACGAGGAGGACGGTGGAGGTGAGTTCGTCTTCCCAAAATATTACTAAAATACACTGTCATCGTACCGAGATACGTTCTGAAAATCTGGGCCTTTTACCTTAAATAGAAGTTGGCAAAACTTCTATTTAAGGTAAGGTATCAAGAGTGTCCTGGTAAACACTGGCATTCACTGCACCCTTAAAGGAAACCAGTGGCTCACATCCATAACGGAAAAAACGGCCGCAGACCATGAAATGCCACCACCAAATTTCATAATTTTCATAACATACTCCGATAAATCCCGTCTACCCGGCATCCGCCACGTCTACACGCGTTCGTCCGAGTGCCGGATTATGTAACGCGAGTCATCGCTCCACGGGATATGTTTCCGCTGCGCCACAGTCCAATCTCGGTGTTGCTCGCATCACTCCAAGCAACGTCTCGCGTTGGAGCTTGTCATGGTGGGTCCGCGGGAGCATCACGACCACGAAATCCGAGTCTTATCGCTTTCCGCGGATAGTCCTGTCGCTGAAATCCTCGGCGATGGTGGTTAGCTCGCACAACACGTTTCAATTTTCGGCAGTTCCGGCCGGACAATATTCAGGGTTCACTAGAGCCAGGATCGGGGTCATTGCTTTCCTTTTGATTCATTTCACCTTGCCGATAGTGGCTGGGATATCTAACTGCTGCGAAATCTTTCTTACAGAATGTCCGAATTTCGGGGCTCCTATAATCACCCCCTCGTAAACGCATCCAAATCTCTCCTTCGCGCCATGAAAAATACGCGTAGGATGCAACCACACACGCGTCTTAATCGGCACGCCCTAATTTGCATACAGTCACATTGTTTCGGGCATGTTCTTTCTAACCAAAGAGATGTGCCATGGCACACGACTTTTGGCTATATAGTGTAAGCTTAAATTCCTCTTTGTACGTTTTCAACTTCCGCTTTGTTTTCGAGATCCGACCTTCCAAAGTATTAACATTAGAGCCGTCAACTGTTTAGACTAATTTCGTATTCCTTCACTGCCCAACCAGGCCTTACCGGATTAAAATCTTACTCTTTTAATATTTTGCAGTATTCATCCTCTTTATAGTAAAATAGTCGAAAACTGACAGCTTTTCCACGTACAGCGCATATACTTGGTATAGTATTTCGTGTGTTACGAAATTAAACAATAATTTACAAGAACCGTTAAAAAACAATTCAACCTCAACACTAGAATTAAAACAATTTCACTGTTTAAAATAACCAGTTTGTACAGTAGGTGTTAGTAGCGCAGAGATGATAAATAGTTATCCTTTCGGCACAAATTTAAAATTTGTTTCCGAAACGAAATTTCAAAAAATAATATATACAAATCTATTGCTGTATGAGCCAAAATGATTGTATAGAATAATAAATTATACTTCTTGTATNTATATATCATCTATATATGTATTTGTATATATATATATATATACAAATACATATATATATACAAATAGGCTATATATATATATATGTATATAGCCTATCCTGGTCGATTTCTGTACATCATTGGTAAAGCCAACCGCTCTGTTCTCACAAGTTGGTAAAATTAAGCCGAAACAGTTTGAGTTTAAAGCGTAGGCCTGTGATAAAATGAAACGGTTACGGTTAACGGAAATTCGGCAATTTAATTATAGGGGGAGATTTGTAGGATTGGTTAAAACAAAATGTCGTAAACGGTCGGTGGTAAAGCGGAGGTCTACCGACAAATCTTACGTAAGAAAAGAAATATTCAATATGGCGTAAAGAAAAATTGATAAAATGTTAAAGGAACTTAAACTTTTACCTTCGGCATCCGATAAACACGATCTTTTTATAATTATTGTATCAAAAAACTTCGTTTTTAATGTAATAAATAATAATAATAATATTTTTTTTTTTATTCTGATGAAACCGTGTTGTTGTTATTATGTTGTTTCTTTGCAGACACACTAAGGCGACATTTTACAACACTTGGCAAATTATTCACCAACTGAATAAATGGTGAATAATTTGCCAAGTGTTGAAAAATGTCGCCTTAGTGTGTCTGCAAAGAAACAATAATAATAATAATATTATTAATTAATTAATGTTATAAGATAACCGTTTAACATAAAATTTAAAACTACGTAATTAAAATAATTAGTTTATGAATTTTATTTTATAATTTTTGTTACAAACTTAAATGATATTTTGAATAATCTCGACAATTGCCAACGGTTTGTAAAATAAATAAATTTCGTTTTCGTACATTAAATTCTGTTATTAAAATGACGAATAGAATCCATTCATAAAATAATTAAATATTAATTTTGACTTTTTAAAAAATATCTTTGTTTGTACAGCGATTCGATTATTTTACATAGTTTAACGTGGAAAAACACGTAAAAACTTTTTACTTCTAGTTCAATATACAATAATATTACAAGGTTCGTGTTTCGTGACCTTCACCCGTTCATTCAAACCCAAAATAGCGTTACGTCAGAAGAGAGACGGTTTCGCGATAGGCGAAATGCCTTCTACGGATCTAATTGCGCGTAATGCGTAAGTGTAAAATGTTTATCTACAGAATAAAAACAGCCACCGGTTGGTCCGCAACCGCGTAAACTAAAGACGGGATGTGTCCAAGCGCGAAAGATTATTTGTTTGGAGAACGGTGAAACGTGCGCCACGTGAAGAAGACAAACTAAAGACGTTCGTCTTCGTTAATTGCGTGAAACGTAAATCTTGAAACTGTTGGGTCGCACTCTTAACGAAAGTGTCTTTAAGAATGCAGCGTCGTAATGCCGCGTCTAGAAATGATGTGCGAAATTAAAAGTGACTAAACTGACTCCGATCATCGTATATTCGAATTTATCCAGTCCACGGTGGTCGAAACACTGTGATATATTCCGGGTTGTCTCCATTGAGCGCAACCGAATCCCGCGGAAGTGATACCCACCAAAGTCCACTTTCCGTTCATGTTCACCATTAGTGGTCCGCCCGAATCACCCTGTAATTATTAGTCGCCATTTAGTTTTTAATGCTAAATTTCTCCGTATCTATAAGGATACGTACCACGCAAGCGTCTTTCTTCCCGTTTTCGTAGCCGGCGCAGATCATTTCCGGATATATTTTAAGTTGTATTCCTCTCGAACGGTGCCAATATTCGCATTCCTGGTTGGAAATAATGGGTACGTCGACTTTCTGGAGCAATCTGGTACCGTAACGGTTTCCTGAAAGTTCAAATCCATACGTGGTTTAACTGGTAAACGTAGAAACTCGACATTTTTCAAAGTTCAAATAAACTACAGTAGACTCCTATAACGCTGTAGATAATTCCTTGTTATATGAATTCCATGTTGTACGAGTCACTTAGATTTAACAAATACGTGAGCCGTTCACAGCCCGGCACAAGTATTTGTTAAACCTAAGCGACTCGTACAACATGGAATTCATATAACAAGGAATTATCTACAGCGTTATAGGGGGTCTACTGTATTTTCGTTAATGCAGAGGATTTTTACTTCGTAAAAATCGTTAAAAAGTAAATCAAGCCACTTACTGAGTGCCGGATCCGTTTTACCCCATCCGGTGACGACGGCTCTCCATCCTCTGAAATTCCATCCGTAAGGTGGAAGACAGATGGGAAGAATATTTTCTTGATAGTTGACCTTCCTGTTGAGCCTCAGTAACGCTACGTCATATCTATCGGGATGAGAAGGCGAGAATTTAAACTTTGGATGTAACCTTTTCTCGGCCACTTTCAAGTAGTGAGCGGGTTGAAGTTGGTAACTGTGATCGTGGATGTCGTAGGCTCCGAGAACCACTGTAATTTGAGGTAGTCTGGCTCTACGGGATTAAAAGTAATTACATTTTGCAATAGCTCTCCGAGTTCAAGCTTGTAAGGTTGTAAATTATACCTATAAACACAATGAGCCGCCGTTACTACAAAGTAAGGACTAACTAATACTCCTCCACATTGCTGTTGAATAATCTTGATGTGTGCCTAAATTTATAAGGAATTTTTAATGTTTCGGGCAAAATACGGGAACGTGCCGCATAGAAAGATATTTAAATTACACACCTGCCAAGGAAATTCTCCGTAGAAAGCGTCTTGTCCCCCTACAATTCGACTTCGTGGCTTTACGGCCGATCGTCCACATACCGCTAAATAATGAAATTTTAATTATCTTAAAGCAATTTCCGATAAATTGTAAATTGCACATAAAAATGTCTTAAAATTTAATTTAAATTCGCCCGAATTATAATATTCTGTAACTTATCGTCTTCGTAAATGACGAAAAAGTCGCACGAGTGTAGACGTGGAAGTCAAGACCGATGCATAATCCGTGTTTGGAATGCGAAGCAAAAGACGTCCGTCTGTATTTTCATTTTGACAATTAGGCCAAATAAATTGCTTCTAAAATAACTAAATTAACATTTTACAACGATAACGGGTTTTCTCGCTTTTTCGATTTTTAGTATCTAGCCTAACGGAGTTAAACGGCTCGGTAACAAGAATGTCTTATTAATTAATTGCCTTCAAATGAAAGGAAACGATCGAGCTCTGTACAATTTAGATTATTGCGTATATAAAAAGCATTAATATTTTAAATTGAAACTAGTAAAGGAGAAGGTGGTATTATGGAACACTGCGGGTATTATGGAACCACCCCATTTCGAACTGATAATAAAGGCAAACTGTAGCGGAAAGTGGATGAACTGAACTAGGCAGACATCCATAGCGAGGGGAAAACCCGTTTTACTTCAGTTAAACGGTTGTCCGTATTTAATCGGCAAATTTGTTTTTTTCAAAATTCGCAAGTTTTGAATGCTAAGTGAATTTAATTATTTTTAAAATATAAATCGTGTAGTTGTAGGTTCACTGGTGCATGTATTCCGTTCCAGAGACTTAGGGGTACATATTAATCTGTGTGATGTTCACGTTTTTTAAATTTTGGTCTTGACAGACATAAGTTAATTCGAGATGGCGATGCGTGAAATACGGACCCCATTGGTGCTTTTACAGTAATATGGAACTCAACTCCTCCGAACTTTCTATTTGCAAGCAGACATTCCTCCAGAGCAATTTGTGAAAAAGACACTAGGTAGAAAGCCAATTCTTCCTGAGAATATCGAAAAAGAGCTGCTGGAATATATATTGTTGATGGAGGTCATATTTTTCTATTATAAAAGCATTTTTGCGATAAAATACATTGGAGTAAATAATTTTGTAATTATTTAACATTTTTTGTCCTTTCCTATTTGTTTTTGGCTACATTAAAGCATTTTTTTGAAAATATACAGTAAGGTTCCATATTACCACCCGATTTTCTCTAAGCCTACTTTCGGACTTTTTGTACAAAAGCCTTCAAAAACATACTTATAATTACACTAGCGAAAAATTCAATTAGGAACATTTAGTTTAATAATTACCAGTACTTTTCGCACAAAAAATGTGGGTGTAGTTATGATACCTTGTTTACAATTCACTAAAATGTAATTGGGGTTCCATAATACCACCTTCTCCTCTATTAAAATGGAAACGTCGGTAGATTTAAAGTGAACGACAGTATCAAGATTTCAACTAAGTGTCGTATTTAAGGTAAGAGGAAACGTTCCGTTGTAAGAATCGAATCTATTTTTCTATTCGAGCCACTTAAAAGCCTTAATAGAATCTATTCGATCGAGACTGGTAAACGCCCCTTATTCAATTTTATAACGAAATCTTTCTTTTTGAATAAGATTATTATTAAATTACCAGATATTTCGAGTTTTACTATACAAATAAATTAAAATTATCCCAATAGCATTTATATAAAATACGATTTTTTCAAAAATTATTTAATTTTATTCGCTTTGAATTTCCGAATTAGCCTATACTCCGATGATTAAAGTTGGAAAATAATTAATATTCTCCTCTCCCACCCGAAAAACTGTCAAATTATTCAATAGCGAAAGTTACGGACAGAAATGTAGAATAACGAGCAGTTAAAATAAGAACTCGGGCCAGTTTAATAAAGTTACAAGTAATACGACCCTTAAAAAAACTAGTTTAGTTATTTTAAACCCTAACCATTACAATACGATATTGCTTTATCGTTAATTTAAACTAAATCCCACATACACGTACGGTTCAAACGGGTAATTGTTTCCCCTTATTGTTATTCTATTAATAATCATCTCAAAATAAAAAAATACACCCAATTTTCTTCTTTGTGCGGGTTAATATTTAGTTTTTTCCTCGGTATTATCGAGTATTATCGGAACTATTATAATTACGATGTGTATATATAGGCCTATATATCACATAAGTACGCTGACATATTTTATCTCGTGTGAATATTTTTAAAGAAAGGTATATCCTACTGCGCGTTTTAATATCATTTTTCGCTTAAGTTCCGTTTTCTTTCACTCGACTAAAGCCGCGATTCTTTTATTTTCCTCCGGTCGAGAAATGTAGAAAGAAGAGTAAATAGAATTGTTATCCTTTGTCTGGATATTCGGCTAACCGGCACAGAAAGTTTCTAATTAAAATAGCGACGTTGACCGATAAAATTTAGTAGAAAAATAGCGAAGAAGCTTACAATTGGTCTCCTTTCTTAATGTTCTCTGGTTAAAGTTGGAGGGTCGAGATCTTCGTAAATTCGGTTTGACGCAGCACGTGGACAGTAAATTACCTCTGCAATTACCGGCCGAAGTACCTCCGCTGAGTAAACAGAACAGAAAAAACTGACATTGATGAACTTCTCCGTTCCGATGACAAGTGTCCGTATCTGCTCTTCGTCGGAAGCTAAATACTGGCAGACAAACATTTCGTATTAAACTTTACACCTCCTTTTATACGGTAAAAAATGTCAAATATTCGTACAAATTTATAATTTACATTAATAAGACCCGATGCGGTTGGATATTAATACTTTTGTTTAAGGTTAATTGTGTCGTTAGCTGTAAGTAGTTATTTTCATATCAATACCTAAGTTACTTTAAGGTAACTTAGTATCGATGCGAAAATTGCATTTGCAAAACGAGCAATTATTTTTTTGCGACAGGATCACAATGCCGGGCTGCAATTTTTAATCATATTTTTAATTTGTTTAACTTAAATTATACGCTTCCGCCTCATATTAGTAGTGGCTCGCCCCCGTACATCATACTTTCTCCGATGACAAGGGAGTTGCGCTGGTCATCCGCTTAACTCCTTTCCAGGAAAATATTTGAATTGAAATAATGTGACTTCCGGTAAAAGCCGGAACTTTCTGTATAGTTCATCGGAGCCTCTTATCTCAATGCTTGTCGTACGTAATTTCCCTTTTTATCCGTCTGACACCATTCTGGATATTTATGAAAGACGGACGGACGGACGAACAACAGCGAGAATTTACAGGTGTACAGTTTTTGCAAATTGCAGCCCAATAGTAGTATTTGACAACGTTAATACGTGGAAATTTGCAATGTATTTCGTTCGAGTAATTATAAAGTTACCGGTTTCTAATTGAGTTAATTTTAATATGTTAAGAGCTACGGTAAATAAATCGTTGCGAAATATTTTTATACTAATTTACTTATTGCTCAGATTTATTTTACATTGTATAAAACATATTAAAGAAAGTTGGTGTAACGCCATAGTTTTTAATGAATAATTTACCTATATTTTGAATATAATTTTTATAATCCCTTTTAAATTTATAAAGCAAAATTACGCGTTAATTACAATAAACTTATAAAAGAAGACATAAAATAGATTTTTTTAACCTAATTTTTCTGCGTTACGGAGGATACTCGTAAACCGACAAAACTCGGATTTTATGTTAGTTTATAACGCATAAAAATAACGTAAAACGTTAAACGTAGAAAAAATAGGTAGAGACGGTAAGCACCTAATCGGCCGAATAAGTATTTCTCTACATTTTTCGAGATTTATACAAGCGGATTTAGGTATGGTATTTAAGACGGAGGACCTCGATAACGGGAAAATTTGACATCATTTTCTGCATTCACGCTCCCCGGAATTTGGGTTATAAGTATACTTTTCGTGTGGCGGCATTTTTGTATTTTAGCTTCCGTTTTAAATATTTTTTAAGTACGATCGTTCGTGCGTACGCGAAGATAGAAATTGAAACTCCTTCCTCTCGAAATTTGGGCCTCCGATTGTACTTTCCGAGCCGTATTTTTCTTTCTTCCGCGTTCATTGTTTATCGGCCATAGGGATTATATACAGGACACGGTCGAGGATGTACTTTAAATTCTTACGCCCGCGTACAAAGCCGGGTACGACTTTGTAAAGAGGAGAGTCGGACGAGTTGACATGGAACAGCGGATGTTTATCTTTCTCGATGTAATCGATGGGACGAAGTAAGTTCTAACAAAGAACGTGCGATGACCCGTTTCAAATATATTTCCCACGCGGTTCCTACGTAAAACGACTATTGTTAATAATTCTATACGTAGAAGACACGTGCATCCACCTTGCGTGATGTTCGTTTCGCCATTAAGAATGACTTTTTTTAATGTTTTGCTTGCGATTTTCTTTTCTAAAACTCGAATTTTCTCCGATTTACACGTAAACAATTTAATATTTACCGTTTATATTGACGAATCTTAGATTTCTTATTCCTAAATCGGCGTATAGAGGCCTCGGTGCGTATTCCTTAAACCCCACAAACCTTGCTAAAGCATTCCTCGGATTAACTTATTTTTTTATTACTTATTTAATATTAAGATTTCAACACAACTTAATCCATATTTTTTGTCCAGATAAACGAAGAATTTAACAAGTTTAAAAATTTTCTAACATTGCTCCTTTTCCAGGGGCATTCATTTCACGAAATTACTTTGGATATTAAATTATTATTTTTTTCATTTTACAATTGGAATAAATCGATAAATGTTTTTATTGACTTTATCTTTTACTTTTATAAGAATGAAGTAACAAACAGCAATCTTTAAACACCGTTCGTGCGAAATTTGCCACGCCGCTCTATCTTGAATTTTCTTCCATAAATTTAACCGTGTTAAAATATAAAGTTTTATTTATAAACATTTATAAATTATTTATCAGAATAACTCTGGTAAAATTGAATGCGGAAGTATACTTTAGATAAATGGAACATTGAAAAATGCGAAATGTTTAACGTGAAGAATTTGTAAATCCTTCTTAAATCTCTTAAATCCTTCCTCGTTACAATATTCTTCGCATTATTTGTAAAACTGGAGTAAATAACATGATTTTTATTTTATAAAAATGGATTTTCTAGAATTTTCTGCCGCACAAAAATAAAACCAAAAAGGTATTATATTGAGGAGTAATTTGTCCCGCCGCCATCCCCTCAAAGTATTTCTTCTTACGAACACGTGTCCTGGCATAAACATTGAATTATATTCGAGTTTAAAAAAAACGGGGCAAAAGTCATTTCAAAAAGTAAACTTTTTGGAAACTTTTATTATAGAAGTGAGAAATTTGTATGGCTCCATCCTCAAATTCCTCTCTCTTGGCCAACGTATTTCGCATTAAATTTTGGGGTTTCTATTCTTATAAACTCGGGTAAATGGATTAAAAATTAATCTACGCTTTATTTTTTACTGTAGAAAAGTAGAGCGAGAAGACGAATTTTCAAAAGTACATCTCTTTTCCCCGCTCGAGTTTAATTATCTTTCAAACACGTTCCTTACATAGAAATAAAAGAAACTCTATATTTAAGTACAGACTAATGCGTTTTAAAAAATATATATAAAATCAATAAGGAAATAATTACTGTAACGAACTTGAACTTTAATTAAACTCTACCACGGAATAAGTTCCTTGTTTTGAATAATTTCGTTGGTATAGTTGCATTGAACTTTATTTATTTTTCTACTCGGCCTTACATAAGCAATTTAGACTAATTTAACGTCTTTTTAGTAAAATAAATTCAAAAAAATCGGGTAAGTACTAATTATATATTGCGGGATGTGAAATATAATAATGGTTGACCTAATAATAAATAAAAAAGTACTTTCAAAGAAGAATATATATATATATTTCCGCACAATTGGGGTTTTGTTCTATTAAAAATAATTTATTTTTTAGAAAAGAAAAATCTAGATTTTCTTGTTTAATAGATTGGAAAATAATTTAAGGTTGTACTTACATTGCGCATTCGAACGTTGATTTATGTACACGAGATACACTAGTAAAATGTATATCTTGGCATCTCCGATGATACAGCGCATCTCACTCTTTATATTTTATAAACCTGAAATACGTAGAATCAATTTTAATAAAATAATAACATTTGTTAAATACTTTTATTACTCGACGTTAAATTTAAGATAATGTTTCACAACCTAAGTCAACTTTCTTCAATTTTTTTATGTTAAATGTTTTAAGTCGGAAACGTAAATAATCGATTAATAAATATTTACAAACGGTCAAAATTAAAAAAATATCAAAAGAAATGGGTTCGGTTGCGACAAATATTTCCCGTTTTCGGCTCTTAGTCGAAGAGATATATTGTAATTAACACGGATATCTGCAGAGCTTCTACTCTGTTCTACGCCAGAACTACAATTCTTCTCATAAAGATGCTTTGATTCCCGCATAGCATTCTCCGCATAACTCTTAAATATCGCGATTAACCCTTCCGACCGACATTGAATATTCGTGACAATACTTTTCGGAAACATTTCATATTACACAATTAACTTCAGATCTTTACGGGTTGAACTTAGAAAAAGTTTAAGGGAACCAATGTAATAATTGGAAGCATTTTACTCTTAAAGTCAGAATAAAGACAAAAAGTAAAAAGATATTAATAAAAATGAAGTTAAGACGAAGAAAATTAGGACGAGTAAACCAGCAAGAAGAACTATCAAAATATTTTGTAGCCTGGAGCGACGGAATAATCTCAAAATTCAATTTTCAACCTGGTAAATAATCTATTGTAAGAAGACGAGCGGACAAACGGACGACTAGAAGTAAGATAAAATATTTATTGTATAATGTCACCTCACAAATTCTGTAATTGAATTATTCCGTCGACCTATTTTCCATTTTTTTCTGCCGCACTTTTCTCCTCGGTTCCGCTACTCTACATTATTTATATATCATTAAAGGGGTTGCGTAGGAATCGTATTTTTAAAGCATTTTTACAGTAAGACGAGATAAAAATGTGAAAAATTATCAAAAAAGATTAATAGTAAATAATTTCGAAGCGTTAGAAACAATTTAGTGATTAAACTGTAAATTTTAACATCGATTGGTCAAATTTGAACCTTTATCCGCCAGATTTGCCGATACGCGGCTTTACGGACGATCTTCCCGTCTACACCAATAAATTTACGCGTAATAAAATGTTAATACTGTACTTGCAAAACGGAGGGTGTAAACACTTTATATAACTTACGGCTAGACGATATCCTACGAAATATTACGCCGTCCACCGTCTTACCACCCAGAATTTTATCCTACAGACCTTTCCCAACGAATATACGGCCTTATAACTTACTTTCTAAATTTCGACACGGGCTATTTTCGTTAACGATAAAATTTTAATAATTACGTTACATAAACTTGGTGAATAAATAAATAAACGTAATAAATGACATTTGTTTGGAATCCTAGGTTAGCCAACTTTAATAATGGAGCGCGCGCGCAACGGAATAGAGGACACGGCACGAAACTCGGGAAAATTCGTTTAATTTCCTTCTTTCTTTATATTTTAAAACGAAACGCTTTGTTTCTTGCAAAATAAAATATTCGTCGTTCAATTTTGTTACGTAAATTTTAAAAAATATTACAAAAACTGTCGTTTAAAGTTGGTTAAGCCCGCCATTGTTGATGGGAAACAAACCGCAGTTTTTCTTTTTTCCAACTAAATTGTTACCGTTTTTAGTATCCGAATAAATATATTTGCGTGTTTCTAGTAACGATGAAACCCGATGACGATTATCTTTCTGGTTTAGGAATTTTCTAGTTTTATTTCTTACCAAGCGAAGTCCGCTATTTTTTCCTAAAGGTGTCTTTCATACTACACGCACGCACTTCTTATAGTAATGTTGGGTACAGACCGAAGTACTTTTTTCTAATATTTATTCCATGATTACCAGATTTATTTAGATTCTGCTCGATGACGGGCACTTTTTTATACTTCGGTTGTTAATCGAGTAAGTTGGATATTACCTTCGGTACGAAGATAAGTTTTCACCTTACATTTTAGTCGTAAGTAATTTTATTCGAACGACTTTCTTTTACTCTTTTTTCTGAAAAAAACGAATAAGTCTTCTTAGGTATTCCTCGATTACGGAGTAATTATGTAAAATAATTTCTTCCTTATTTTTTATTTCATGCAGATTAAATTTCATTGGTTTCTTATTGAAACCGAGAATACTTGGTCGAATATTCTTTCCGCCAATTTCTCTTTTATTGGTTAAAGCCCGATTAATATTTCTTTAGTATTAAGCCAATTGCCGACAAACTTTGTTCTTTCGCTCGGTCACCGACTGTGTATTAAGGAAAAAGTTTCGATTTTCAATATTTAAATAAAGTTTTCGTTGTTTAACGAGGATCGAATTCCCTATTTGTAAGCGCCGATTTTAAATTAAAGATAAAAGCTAGAAAAAAAGGAGTAAAAGCGATTTCCGTGTCCCCGGGCATTTCCGTATTTCTCCAGTTCATTTAAATTTAATTCGATATCTACCGAGAGAAAATACTTTTTTATTTTATACACATGACACAATTTACCGCCATTGTTCGGCGCTTTCGAAAATCCGGAAGACAAATTTTTGCCAAATTTTTGATTTATATCTGCGCAAACATACGATCGAACGTTAATTGCCACCGACGAAGATTTGTAACGAAGATAAATCGGTTTTTTCTTTTATTGTTTCGTCCTACTTTAGCGGAACATCGTCGCAATTTAATTTAATATTTACCGAGTTATTACGTCTATTAACTCGTCGTATCTTCTTAGGACCTATTTCCGTATAAAGAGAGCAAATGTTTGTTATAACGGAGACTTTATTAACGTTTTCTTCGGAATAACCGAGCTTTCTCGTTTCGAGGAAAGGATTTAAAACTCGGAGCCGAAAATAGCCGGGTTGCTTTCGTTTTCGCTGTCATTTCGGATTCGTCTTCTTTCGTGGCCGTTCGTCCACGCGTTCCAAATATGTCAAATTAATTAAAAGATAATTTAAACGACGAATACGAGAAGAAAAAATCATTTTTTCGTGGCCGTAAATTGGCATAGATTTGGCGCGTTGTTTTAAGTTATTTATATCGAGTAAATGCCAACGTAATTTAGGTTGGCAGGGTTTTAAGAATTAAAGATTTCAAACATGGCTTGTATTTTGAAAGAATAAAAATAGTCTTTTTGCCTGGACGTAGAACTAACGAGTACGATACACTTTATCGCTTAAGGAAAAGTTAGAAATTAAATTTATCAGCAAGTGTTCTTTTAATTAATACTTTCTATTTATAGTACAATTGTGAAATTTCTTAAAATATATTTATATAAAACACGTTAGTAAAAATTAAAAAATCGATTTAAATAATTATTTATCAAAAACACGTTATGAGTATTTATTTTCCTCGGTTTTTACAGTTTCGAAAGACAAAATGATTGAAAAATTTTCCAATTTGATTTTTGAACATTTAAAGCGCAACTACGAAGCCAACGATCGAGACTTCGCTCCTACTTCAAACACCGTTAATAAATGTTCTATATATTTTTATACATAAATTGGAAAAAATAAATTTTGTCGCTGCCGCTCGAATCGTGACGTCAAAGCGAACTCTGTAATAATGAATTTACGGACGTCCGCCTTACTAAATTTTTTTAAAATATTTATTTATTGAAAATTTATACGAAGAGGGGGAACTCGTTACTCGATAGGAAAATAGTTTGAAGTTTTTTCTGAAAATTACAGAAGAAAAGTGGTAACGTTTAACGGTTAATTTTTAAATATACGTTGCGCTAGTTTTGCGTATAAGGCATAGAGAGGTAGTCAAACCTGAAAGTGTCGAGTCGGGTCATTCACTGAAACAGAAAGCACAAATATGTCAGAAAAGCGTCGGCTTCGGGCACGCGTTACGAAAAACAATGGCTGACTTCTACTTTCGACCATTGCCAAATAAAAGAATATTTTGTCTTCCTTTCGACCATTTAAATTCTTTCTTATTTGGGTCGGTTTGAAAAATTCTGCCGACGGTCTACTTTTAAAAATTCCTTTTATTGACTTCCTATGGCGATAATGATTTGGGCTTTATTAATAACTATTTCTGTTATAAATTTAGATGAATTGGTTTAGTCTGTGGGCGTGAGTAAAGCGAGTGGGAAGAATATCGAGAATAGAAGTTATATCCTATACACGCACTTTATTAGGAATGAGAGCAATTTACTGTATATACATTATCTCGGATTTCTATATCTAATTATCGTTTTCTGAACTTTTTTAATACAGAGAAATTCTCAGTCGTTATTTTAAATTGTAGCGAATGCAATTATAAAAGGAAAGAATGGATGAAAGTTACAAATTTACCAATCTTTGTAACTTTTCATAACTATAAATTGTCAAATATCTTATAAAAATATCACAAAAGTTTCTACTTTTAATATTGTCCGCGGCTTAAAACTTGCATTTAAATTCTACACGCGACTAAAAATTACAAAGTAAAAAAGTTTACGCTCAAAACTACTTTTGTAAATATGCAATTCTAAATTTAAAATCAAATGGAATTAATTCCTTTTTCAAAATTGCCAATTATTAAAAATTTTACAATACGAAATTGCTAAGCAACATTATTTCTTACTTTCCGTAAGAACTGTTGTTTAAATAATGTTTTAAAGTTTAAAAAGTTATTAATAACTTAAAGCTACAAATAGTGTGAGGGGGCGACAGATTTTAGCCTTCTTCGGACTACATTATCCAATCCAGAGGGGTGAAAGATAACTGTAATAATAATTTTAAACTAATTACGTGTTTGTTTTCTTGTGATTTTATTCAATCTTTTACAAAGTGAAATCCTAGAAAAATCCGCTTTTTATAATTAATAAGCTTTTTAAAAACAAATGACGGCCACGAAAAGTAAAACGCTGCAATTTTCATTTTTGCAAACTTTCTTTGAATTTTACCAGCACGAATGAGTTTAAACATTGAAAAAGTGAAAATTTTCAATGTTTAAACGTAGTTTTCTTATTTTATGGTAAAAATGAACATTCAATCGCGATGTAACAAAATATTTACGAATTATTAAAGAAAATTTACCGCTTGGCCAAGAATGTTTAGTAATAACAGTATTTTAAATTGCGCAAATTACAGATGACAAATCGTTTACCGCTAAAGCGTGGCATCGTATTTACAACGTCTCAATTTCTGGCGAGTACACCGCGTAACGAGCAGCCGAATCGACAACGTCGATACGAGACTCGCGCAGAAGTCGAGAGAAACAAAAGGACATAAATTGGTTCATTTCCATATCGAGAACGCGGAAAAAGCATTGTAACTCGTAACGATAGACAACTTGAAGTAAATATACTTTGGTGGTAAGTTCAGCTCAATCCGTGTTAATAGATTTAACTTATCCTGTTTGTCCCGACACTTAAGTAACCGAGATGGAAAAACTGTCCTTAATTGACTCGAATAATCGATAAGCTAACTAGAAGATAATGCGATTTAAAAAGGGAGTATAGAAGCGCGCGAATAAAGAACGTTGGCGGCAGGTCGATAGTCTCCGTGTCACGAATTACGCGTCAATCTTCTTTTGCGAGATAAGTGACAAATATTCCCAAAACTCCATCGGAGTAGCATTTTCTAAGCTTTTTTCTTCGTTTAGTGTCAAACGCTTACGATTTAATATATTTTTATTCTAAAGCGTTCTATTATTGTTCTTTTTTGTACGTTTCACGCATCGGAAATTTCGGATAATCGGCACAGAGAATTTTAACCACGTGTTTAGAGGTCAAACTTGATATATAGGTTCGAGTAGAGACCCAGTTTAACTCTTGGTAATGTCGCAATAGAGAAATTATCTTAGAACTTTGTTATATAACCAACGTCTTTAAAAACGTCACTATGTTATAAGTGATTATTAATCTGTTTAATAATTATATTTTTATAAAGATGTTTATTCCGTATTTAGTACTTAGCGTATCATTTTAAAAGCGAGAAGTAAGTTTGGACAAAAGTAGCGTTGCAACTTTTGTCCAAACAATTAAAATAACACTTTAGAAATTCGACTCACCTTTTATTATATTCTTTTCAAACCTTTATATCAACATGTTGTCTGTAGATTATGACCTACTGGGTCAACGTCTATGCTAGATTGACACACAGACCCACAGCCGTACGAGACTTAACGCTCCACATTCACGACTGTAGAACGACTCCACTCGACTGACGGGATAAGGAAGTGGAACACGTGGTTTGTCTATACTCCGGTGTTCTAGTAGCCGTCGCTACACCCTCTATTCTTCCATCGCCTACAGGCTCTTTAGGAAGTGGGTTGATGCTAGTTACATTTGTCGAATAACAAGTAAAAAAAATAAAATAAAATAAAAAACCTTTCACTAGTCTGATATTACAGGAAGTAATGGCATTCGATACTAAATCGAATGACCACGCCACTAAGAAAAAGCCGAGTTTAGAGGGTAATTGTCCTCGCTATACAAGTTTATAACTGTCATTTTTATCCGCGTTTTCCCCCTCTAAATCTACCGGGGTTTATAAATAAACTACCGAGTAAATTTGCCTAAGAGAAAATAAAGGAAACTGGTAAATATGAAAATTAGCATTTTAGGTACGGTGTGGAAAATACTTGGAGTAATGAACTATCGATAAATATATGTATTAATTATGTGATAATTCCAATAGTTTTTAATGTAAAAAGTAGAAAGTATATAATTTTTTTAATACAAAAAGTGGCGATAAATACGTGATTTTGAAGTATGGAAGTTGTGATTTTAATCTCGAATTTCTCCGCATTTAACTTTTAGATAACGAAATTAACTTTTTATTTCGTTTTCAGTTACGATTTACCCGCGACATAATTTTTAATTAGATATAAAACTTCCAGTTTTAATTTAAAATTTTTAGTCGAATTTTTCTCTTTTTATTTTTATATTTCGCGTAACCTTTAGCCTTACAAAACATATTTTACATTTTGTGTCGTCTTTAAGTACATTAAAACATCACTTTAAAGGTCGAAGAAAATTCGATTTACGAGAAATTAATTTATGCAAGAACCTTTCCTTACGTTTTCCACAACCTCTTATATACATAAACGCGACACCTCGCGCTTTATTCAAGTTTAAACTACTAAAAACGCGCATTATCTCATGACATAATTGAAGATTTAGAAGAAAATGGCACAGAATTATTTTTCGTAAATGTAAGGAAATCGCTTATTGTCCTTACAGGTTTTTAATTCGATTGCCATTAAACGAGCCTCTCGCTTCGTAAACACATTGAGCAATAATGACGTTTTAGAAACCAGTTAAAATAGGTCTACCCATTTAACGACAATTAAAGACATTAGAAAAAAGAACACGAAGGGATTTTAACCATCAATAACACAGATAGCCTAGTTGATCAATAACGCATCAAATATTGTGACAGTGTCGTCTCCATTATTTAAATTATTCAAACTTAAAAATTCTTTACTACAAGAATTTTCCACGATTTCTATTAACTTAAAATGGGACAATATTTACCTATAACAATTGTGTAGAATAAAGTGCCCCAATTGGCTTGCGTTACAAATAATACGTTATGAACATCTTTCTGGTTTTTTTCTAGAAAAAATTCATTTTACTTAATTCATTATTTTCTCTTTGAATAAATACGAGGTTATTTTTAAGTACGACTGCCAAATGTACAAATACCAGAACTTTTTGAAATTAATTGTTATTTCTTAATAATAGACTTAATTCTAGAAAAGCAAAAATATCCGAAAATTTTTCAAATATTAATAAAATAATTCCAAAATATGTCATACAAAATAAATTGGAAGGTATTTAAATAATAATTTACAATTTACATCTGAAATTTAAAAAATGCTTAATTTTCATATAGGCCTATTTATATTATTATTAGTAGTAGAGCTTACTTCAGAGTCTAGGCCGGGGAAGCCCAAAGTTTTTTGACTGTCGATCCTTTGAGGATTTCTCGATCAAAAGATCGAGGAATCTCCAAGGGTCCTCGACTCCAACTTCTTTTGCTAATACAGTTAATAATAAGAATAATAAAGTAACAATAACAATAACAGCAACAACAACAATTACAACTACACAGAAGTAATTAATGCAGAAATTTATTCGAAAAAACGCTAAGTAAATGTGCGGGTTTAGACCCCTGACAGAGACCGCGCATACCCAAATCACCCAGGAGAAAACTCTATACGCATACAGTGAAACCCCGATCATCGCGGTTAATGCGAACAAATGCTACCTTGTGCCACCGAAAAGTCGGATAAAACGGAGGAAGTGGTCTCCGTTTTATTCGACTTTTCGGTTCTTCGAGGTTGCGTGCGTCGATATTAACTCGGATAATTGGCGTTTTACCGTATTATCGGAACATACGAGGTGTGGCGAAAAAGTAATGAAATTGGCATCGACGAGAGCAATCATTGATAGAAATGACGAAGGAAATACAGCGGTATCTCGGTACTCGAACCGTTCTCGACTCGACTAATTCGGTATTAGAACAGAAATAAAAATTCTGACAAAAAATTGCTCGGTACTCGACTAAATAAACCCGACCCGCAAGAACAAATTTTTGATTAATGACATTTTTATTTTTACTTTGTCATACATGAAAGTTTCTATGGTAACAATTAAAAAAATGAAGACGTTGCTGATATTTCTGATCGAGACCGACAAAAAAGCCGAGATGACGACGATACTTTGTAAAAAGAAATCGCCCTGGTTTAACTAAAATTAATATTAGCGTGTAATACAGTATTTTAAATTGAGTTTGTTAATTATCGATTGTAAATGAATTCGATTGCTTTAATGAACATATTTTTTTAGTAACGAAAAAGAAGAGTATAGTATTGTTAAGTTTTGGAACCTAACCGAGAGCGGTTTTTCGGGGCCTAGGGCTTATTGAAGTCTAACGGGGTCGCATTTTTTTGTTATATTAAGAATCTTTAAATTGAGGTTTAAAATTCATTTTTAATAACATCGAAATCAGAGTTCAAATATATTTACTTATGAAATGGTGTTGAATGTTTAAAATTGAGACAGAAGCGAGTAAGTTTTATAACATAGAAAGAAATATTCTATATTTCTATTCGAGAGTGGCCCCAAAAATTCTTATTCTTGCTGTGTACAAATGATCTTAAAACAGTACGCACACTTACTTCAACGGTGTTCCCACCACATTAAAAACATTCGCCCTTCTCAAAAAGTTCTGCTTTAATTCGGAAAAAAAATGATGGTACCAGGGAGTAAAATCGGGTGAGTAGGAGACTGTAGTGTTTTAAATCCACATTCAGTAGAGTGCTAGGGCAACCGTTGATGTCTGGAAACATTGTCCTGATGAAATAACGTTTCTTCTGTTAATCTTCCGACGTTTATCATCCAAAATTTGTCAAAGTGTTCTTTGGATAGCGCAGTATTCTTCGATAACGGATCTCCCTTCGCGAGATTATCCGCAACACCACTTCCTCTGTATTCCAGAAAATGGTCTCCATTACCTTTCCAGTAGTGACAGCCTTTACCTTATTTGGTATCGGAGAATCAATATACTTCCGATGTTTTGATCTAAAACAAAATGATAAACTTAAGTTTCGTCTGCTGTTACAAATCGTTATAGAAATTCTTGTGGCTCGACTCGAAACAATAGAATGTTAGAGTTGTCGGGAGTTTTGGAACGAGCACCAACCGCGCTCGTTAACAGACATTGTGTCAGAATTCGATCAACTTTGTTTACCATACGTCCCTTGTCTCACGTACGAGTAATCCGCCGAATGTTTACCAGTCAGATTTCTTCTCGTCGACAGACTTTTCGGAATCTTATTTTTAACTCGAAACGAAAAAATTCAACAATTTTAGGTACAGTACGTCTTTCAACCCAATATCATAGATTCGGAATACTTCACCCGCTTGACTAAAAGAAAAAACTAACTTCCATAGCGCAACTTCTTCCTCCTTCCGATCACCATAAATTACCAAATTGTTCAATTCAATTCATTCAAGGCACAATATGGACTATACGATATTCACCGGCTACTATTAATAATTTGTTATTCATTTCCCGAACCATGGATAAACTTCGATTAAATTCATTTTATAAAGCTGATATCCCATAAGAAATTTCCATATAGGAGTTTCATAAAATCTCCAATCAACATTATCTGTGTAGGTTTTTATTAGTGAAATTATAAGATAATCACGAAAACTTTGTTTCAATTATGCAGATCGTCTAATCGTCTAACGCAGTAATTCCCAGACATCGCTCCCTCGGTTATATAAAGTTATACCCAACGCACCTAACTTTTTCCTTGTGTCAGAAAGGATTGGAAATATTCTTGGAAAAACTTTTGTTTCAATCTCACACTTTCTGTCCTTACAAAACATTGTTCTCGACACGTAAAAACCATTAAACGCGACGTTTCTTCTTACTCGTTTTAACAGAGAAAAGGTAAACCTTGTCGGTGACCCCAACCACCCCTTACCGTTCGATACCCTATTTTCAGCGTCTCCTTGCCGCCCACTCGCTTCTTTTCGCTCCCTAGATTTACTCACCGTTCACGGGGAGACGGTAGCGCCCACTTTGGGAACCACTGGTCCAAAGTTAACTCGGAATTCGCAGCCCGCTTCCTACAGGGACTAAAAACACTGGGTAAAGACAGGAGGAAAATCATTTTCTTAATTAAGAAAGAGGAGCAGAAGGGAGGAGGGAGAAACGTTACATTGGCACTTCCTGCCGGCTAATCACTCGACAAAAAATCTCATCACCATCGACGAAGCTCAAAAACCCCCCTTAAACTACGTATTAACTCCTAAAAGATTGGCGAATTTAGGATTCTTTTCTAGTCAAATGTAAAAATTTGATAAAAATTTATATATTTTAAAATAAGATAAAAACCGTGTATTATTACAACGGCCGTCTTTTATATTTCCGTTTGGGACGTGGGAGTTTGACCGTATTTTGTAAAAGTAGAGTGTAATAAATGGAAATAATTAAATGTAGAGCGTTCGGGGATAATTTTACGTAAGAAAGAATTACACTGGAAAGAGAAGTATCAAAAATTTCCTTGCTAATAAAGATGAAGCCGATTTACCCGAAAGTCAATCGCATTTATCTTACTTAAAGGATAAATTTGACGATGTAATAGGAAAACTTCTGACAGTATGTATACGAGAGTTTTCGCCAATGCAAATGTTTTTTATAATAATCGGAATTTACGGCCTTCATTTGTTGATTAAGGAAACTTTAAATAGTTCAAAGGAAAGATTAGCCGAGGACTACAAAGAATTGGCTGTCGCACCTTAAGTAATAGCCTACTTTACTGTAAATTTCAAACGCGAAAAAACAATCAGAACGTGTTTTATTCAAATAGAAGAAACCAAATTTCTTTATTCAACTATTTACTCTCAATCTATGCCTTATTATTTTTCATTCTTTTGAGTTCGATCTTTGGTCTACAAATGAAAAAACTGAAAATACTGTAAAAGAGATCTTGGCCGGGTCATTTTTTGACCGATCGCCATACACTGTAACAGTCAGGAAAGCGAAGGTAAGTTAAATCGTTTCTTTTCAAATTCGCCCGGCTGCAATTTGAAAAAATTGTAAACCAATAAATTCCCACTGTTGTCCGTTGTCTGTCCCTCCTTAATCGCGAGAACGATGTACGAGAGATGAAAGTAAAGACCAGATATCGATATTTTAGGGATAGGAGGCTCCGATTATATGTATATACGTACAAACTTCCGGTCTAGATCAGAAGTTACTTAAATTTAATTCAAAACTTTTTCCCGAATGGAGTTACATAGATGACCGGCACGACTCTGTTGTTATCGGGAAAAGTATGATGTACTGTACAGTACAGTACAAGGACAACACACGACAAATTTGTAACGAGGAACATACATTTAAAATTGAGTAAATTAAGAATATGATTAAAAATTGCAGCCGGACACCGTGACGATGTCACAATAAATAATTACTAATTCCAATTTTTGAATTTAATTTACCATCTCTGGATAAGTGAAGACACATTCCGTCGGTTTCGAGTAGATTATTATAGATAAAAATAGAAAGAAGGAAGACACAAACTGGATATTAGTTATAAAGAGTTGTTTTTTCTTAGATATTCTTAACTGTATTTATATATAAAGTATATGTATCCGTTCCGTGTATATGTCGCAGCCAGATTGTTAATTTAACCGCTTTACCAAGAGGCTAAACCAAATCCCGCCGGATTGAGTGAAACGTTACGTAATATACAAATCGAAAGAGAAGAAGCGAATGAAGTTAAAGAGCAGCGGAGACGACGAACGACACCGCCGAGAAACTTTCCCGGTTAGAAATTAAGAAAGCACTTTGTTCAATACTTTCCCGTTATAACAGAGGAAAAGTATGGCCATCGGTCAAAAAATGACACTTTAAGATTTTTACAATTTCGTACTCGGAAGAAACGGAAACGTCGACAAAAGAAAAAAATCGGGATTTTTCCGACAAAAGGCGCGGGAGTTATTAAGCTTCGAAGAGGGTAAAGAAGATGGCGCCCCGTACGCCAGCAACCATAAATACGGAATAAACCCCAATTTTTTTTTTTCTTTCTTCTGTATTTCTCGGCATTCGAAGGTTCCCGAGTGAAAAATGTTAAAAATAAATTTGACTATCAATTTTAAACTTTCAAAACGACTTCGAAACTGTTTTTAAAAACACTGTTTAAATTTTCAATTCATTCGATTTTTATCTTAATTTTAATTAATTAATTTTGATTTTATTTTCAATTTTAGCTTTAATAATAAACGAGTTAACATCGATCGAATTACGGGCTAGCCGGGTCCGATAATAGTAAAGATTTGGCGCGGTTTAATTGTTAAAAACAAATAACGAACGATGTACTTGGTAATTAATCTATCGAGAAATTACTTTCAACGCGGTACCGGCTTCCATCGAATAAGACGAATTACGAATAGAGTAACCCGACGTTGTCGGGTGTGAAGTTCGGGAACTGTTAATAATCGGGCGGTTTGGATTAGCCAATACTAATTAACAGACGGATACGCCACTTATTTTAAAACGTTCTTCGTTTCCCATTTGGACGTCTCTGTGACGTACAACCGGATACTTTTTGTCGCTCGTTCGACGGTGACGGTAGCGTAAAATGTATAAAAGTAGACTTACGCCGTTATAACTTGTAATTTGTCGAAAATCGTATTGTTTTTCTACGGTTTGCGTGTTGTTTTTACAGAAAAATAACATTTATGTTTTATTTTCTTGTTCGTTTTTCACGCGTTGCGTATTTGTTTACGCGTGACATAAGAAATTTCTTTAGTCACTTTTTACCTACCGTCCGTTGGCGTGATCTTCGCGCCTCGTTTGTCTGTCATTTATAAATGATATTTTTCTTCGAGTATCCTTTCGTATTTATTGACTTTTTTGCGGAAAAAAAAATTATTTTTAGCGTCGTTTCAGTCGTGGCTTTCTTAAAAGAAATTTTAAAATATTTGAAATAATGCGAACGGACGCGTTGAATTTTTAGCAATATTAATAAAATGCATTTTGAAGATACATTTAATTATATTCGAAATACTGTATATTCGTTACAGTTGAAGTTATTTACGTGATTTTGACAAATACACTCTTTGACAAAAAATTCAACGCACCAAGAAGGAAATATATCCAAGTAGAACAAAATTTGGTAGGTTTATCGTAGGCGTTCGGAACAGTTGGATGATTTACTCTGGAGAAAGAGCTACGCGGAGTGAGGACGTCGGTAAGACGTTCGCCCACCTCTTGCCCGAACACGGGCTGTTATCCGACGCGGCACGGATTTATAAAGTTGACGGACGGTGTCTTCCGAGGATTTTTCCACTAAATAGTATCGAAATGGTGGGCTAAGCCGTCGACGTTTCCGGATGGTTTTAGGCCCTGCCCCGTCGGGCTTCGAATATGTTTAATTGGACAGAGATCTAGCCATCTGGCTGGCCGAGAAGGGATGCGGCAACCACCGAGACATTCGCGCGAGAGGCGAGTCGCGTGAGTCGTGTCGAAAAGTAAGCACCGGGTGCCGCGAAAGGAACGGTATCGCGATAGCTGTGGGAACGTCGTCGACGTATCGCTGCGCCGCGAAAGTGCCACGGACCGCCGTTAAGGGATCTAACAATCCGGTTATCGAAAGAAATGGCGCCCCAAACCATAGCTCCCCGTTACCGGGCGGCGCGACCTTCGACGGTAAAAGAGGGATTCCGACAATGGCCAGAATGTCTCGATATACGTCCGCGCGGGTCGTCGAAACTCGGTTCAAAGAGGGTCTCGTCGCCGAAGACGATTCGTCCCCGATCGGAATACTTCCGCGTTAATCGAGCCCGGCACGGGTTGGGCGGTCGACGGCGACGACTCCGTTGCCCTTACAGTCGCTCGAACCATCGCTCTGTCCTGGCATTCCGTCGTCACTCCGCCTGGTTTTCTCTGGATTTGCCATTCGAGACCCGTTGGTGTAGGCATGGCGTAATTACCGTATCACTCCGACCCAAATGTTGGGCGATAGGTCGATTCGTCCATTTACCGTTTTACTCCGACGACCTCTATCAAACTTCGTCATACGATTTTAGTGGGCACGAATGCGTCGACGGCCAGGCATTGTTCGAAATCGACGACGATAACCATCAAACTCCGCCGAAAGTTGGGTTCTTCGGAGAAAGAATACGCTATCGCCATGGGCATTTTCAATCCGTCGCGATTCGGTCTATTCGCTCGTCGAGTGCGGGGCACCAATACGTAGGGACACGCGTCTCTTTTTCGTTTACGTCGCCCTTTTCCCAGTTCCCAAGGAGAGCCAAACAACAGAAAATTTGCGACTTTTAGCCTATTCAGAAAATATAAAAGAATCTAACGAACGATGTTTATCCATCGACCCAGGCAACTCGGCCGAAGCGGACCAAGGCCCCATTCTTTGTTTTTCGGGCCCAGTCAGTCTGGAGCCAGCTGGTAGAAGGTAAGATTGCCCGATAGAGAAGAAAGGCTTCTCGTCGGTCGTTTATTTGACGTCACTCGAATTCCAAAACAAAACATCTTACTACGTCCTTACGGTAAAAGCATTACCCATCGGAGGCTGGTAGCTTTAATTACGACCTAATATTTCATTAATTACGATTCGTGCTTAATTAAATGTAAACAAAGATGGATTATAAATAAGAAAAATCCGGAATATTGCGCAAATCTTCGTAAATTAAAATGCGTTTTTCTACTTTCTAAACGAGATGGGTTTTATCTATTTTATGATATAATAAGAATTTGTTAAAAGATTAATTTTAATAAATTCTACGTAGGTTATTTAAACACGGGTAGATTAATTTAATTTCTATCGTCAAACCACTTCTTTTTAAACCAAAAATTATATTGATCCGTTTTTTTAATTTTTAATATTCGTCTACCGAAAACGATATTATTTACTCATACGTATAAAAATAACTTTGTCAAAAGAACAATTTTCCGTCACAGACACGTTTTTAATATCGACGTATACAAATGAAGTGTTACGTAAAAACGGAATTAAAAGAAATCGGGTACAGACTTTTTTCATTTCCTATTGTTATTAAAATTTACTTTCCTTTTTCTCTCCGGCAGATTATATATTTGCGCTCCTGTAAAGGTACCTTTCATTATCGATGTAACAATTTTTTTTTTATTTTTTCATTCGTTTTTTTTTTCAATTTTTCGCGTTCTTTTCGAACGACGACAGTTTTACTTTTCCAAACTTTCGGATTTCTTCGGATCGCTGGCATTCTTATTTCAATACGTTTAATCTTCATTTTTATAACAGGATTTTCACGTTTTAATTTAAAATTAAAATCTTCCGAAGTTCTACAATCGTTACATTTAAGGGGTTCTTCCGGTTTGTTCCGTTATTTACATCCGGACGTTTTCCTATCAGTTTTTTTCTATTAACTTTTAATAAACGATTCTTTCTTTCATTCCACCGATTAATATTTTCATTTCCTGTATTTCCTAATTTACTGTCGTAGTGAAGTTTTTCAGTCCGGGTCTGGCTAATTAACCTAATAATTCGACTTTTAAACGTCTCATCATTTTCTGCCAAACGATCGGAGCCAACGTGACGAGAATCGGAGTTGGATTTGTCTTTTCTTTTACAATTAAGAATCCATTTTTTTATTATTGGATCTTTAGGAAATGTAAAATAACCGACTTTTTCCGTTTAATAACTTTCTTTTCGATTGCTCTTATTACCAGTTGCAACGGCGCGTATCGTTCCCGGCATCTAAAAATAATAATAATGAAATTTAGCTACGTTTGTTTTATATTCCCAAATAGATCTAATCGACAAGTAAAAAAAATTCATATAAAAATACGTGGCCGGCGTTATTGGCGTTTAATAAATATTATAAATATAAAATCCGACTTCACCGAGATAAAACTTTGCATTTTGTCCTTTCTTTGTTTTACGTTCTTCGGCGGAGGCAGTAGCCTAGAAAGAAAGGTCGTCTCCGAAGTTTTGTGAATCATTTAAGGACTGCCGATGGTGTCGACGGCCAAAAGAAGGGACAAAATGCAAAGTTTTATCTCGGTAAAGTCGAATTTATATTTATTATATTTATTAAAATCTAATCGAGGTATAATATTCTGAAATAGAAAAAGTAGTATAAACATTTTTTACGTAAAAATTATTATACAAATAAATAACACTACAATAAATTTATACTATACAGTATAAACATTTTTATATTTTATATTTCTACGCATTTTACGTAAATGTAATATTTTGGTGAAAAATTAAAGCGATATCAAATAATCTGAAAAAAATTAGGAAAGAGGAGCTCAAAATCCTTCTTTCCTTCCGGCCCGAAACTCAATTAGTAAGCATTATTTATAATTTAAAATATGTTTTCGTTCAATTAATTTACATTACTGAAACGATTGTAAATTTGCCAATTACTTACTTATAACGAGATAAGTTTATTGTGTTTATAGACTACCGTTAGTTACTCGACGGCAGTTTACAAACGGAAGAATCCGTCCCAAAAATTATTCCTGAGAATGTAGACTTTGTGCAAATGCTGCGGTTTGGTTATTTGTTTACGGCGATCTGCCCAGGGGGCTTCCTGGGGAACTTTCTATGGGAAGCCGGCCTTTATTTAGGTGTTACCGACGTCCAGAAAACACCGGAAAACTGCGAGTGGTCGTCCCGTTGGCCGACTACCGATAGTGTCGGGTGGATTTATCCACTCGGCCACCGTGGGCCGCAAATGTTGTGTCATGTAAGAATAATTAGTGCAATTTTTGAAAAAAAATTTATTAATTGAGAACGATTCTCGAATTTTTCTTCCGTCGAATATATTTAAAAAATATACATATATATAGGCTATATGACATTGTTTTTCTTCGAAATACTATTTCTTGAATAATCGTAAAAATAGGATAATTTTCTGAGTTCTGTATGAAATCGTTAAAGAGACGTCTTGAATTTTCACTAGATTTTCAGGCACTCTACGAAGTGTATTTATATATTATATATTTATATAGACGTATATACAAAATGTACATAAAATCGTCATTGCCATCGGACAATTCTTCTCTTCTTCTAGTACACGGGTAGTGGACGGTCGGACGAGTTCTCCGAGTACCGTACCTTATGTATGTCACACATCACGCCAGCGTGTAAGCGGACAAGTTAATTAACGTTCTACTAGCGTCGTGGTATACGCTCACCACCGGCCATCGTATAGTTAACGACTGCGAAGCCTCTCGCGTGTTCAGTCGGTAGTTAATAGAGATTGGAAGATATCCAGTCGGAAGAACTACTGACTCGGTGATATATCCCCGGTTGATACTGCTTGGCGCACGAATATCCTGCCGAAACTATACCAATCAGGTACCAAACTCCGTAACTATTTATCATCAAGGGTCCGCCGGAATCGCCCTGTAAGTAGTAAGAGAAATTTCAACTCGTAATACTTTTTAAACATATAATTGATTTAAATGGCGCGTACCATTTTTACGTAATTATTAATTAAAGAGATAAAATGTTAATTTGTTTAATGCCTCTATATTCTGTTTCGACTTCGCGCATTACCATTCTATTTATTTCTACTCTCGTAATGCTTATAATTGTTCTAATTTTTATTACGTTTAATAAATGATTAACAAATGTCGTGTACGATAAGGCTTTATTAAAGTTGCATTAAATAGAAAAGTAAATGATTAGCTACTTAGTGTAAAAACACGCAAATAACAGCGCGATTCAACGACTCTTTAATCGGCAAATCTAGTAAAGTATTTAAAACGCAATCCTGTTATATCTCTTATCGAATATCGATAATCTTTCCAAGTTGTCATTTTGTTAAATCGAATTATATCTTTTATACCTAACGAAGTATAAAACGTTTCCATTCACTCACTTCCTCGTACACGGGGTAGGCAAAGATGACCCCTATAGATAAAATAGTCGTATCGGATCTATACAGTCCGTACTTTCGGAAAAAATAAATAAATGAATGTCCGTCATCCGTAAACTAATCCATTTAACAAGATTTCGCCGTATATTTTTCTAGAAAATACACAGTGAAATACCAATAAAGAATTTATTGGAAATATTCGAATCGGGATAGGTGAAAGCGTGTCGGGAAGAGTTTGCCTACACCTGGCACATACACGCTTTTACCCCATAAATATATAAAGTGTGGTATTCTTATCGCGCTAAGTATATTTAATTACAAACCTGGCACGAGTCTCGACCTCCGAATTCGTATCCGGCGCATAACATTTCGTCGTATATTCGTATATTGATTCCACGTCTTCTGTGCCACGTTTCGCATATTTGATTGTTGATCACGGGAACCGGAACGTATTGTAGAACTTTAGGGCGTAGTTTCGAACCTGCATCGATTATTATACGAATTAAATACAAATTTAAATTATTATAATATTTAAAATCGTAGTTTTAACTGATAAATAAAAAAGGGAAGAGTGAGAAATAATGGAGTCAGCGCCAGCGATTAGTTGACGAAATAAAACGAAATTTGTCGTTTCCTACTAACTAGAGCCACGAAGAGTTTTCTCCGTGTCAATCGTTGTATATTCAGTCGACGCCTACTTAAATTTTACTTTAATTAAGGCCTTTTTACCATTTCACTTAGAATCACTTGGATTATAAATGTTGGCTAAAGTAAATAATTTCTGGTGAGTTCGTTCGAAACAATTGGCCATGTCCATTCAATGGCCGGTTATCCGCAAAAATAGTGGCGAAAGTTTTCACACGTTACACCGTTTTGTAGCTAATTTTGAGTTTTACTCAAAATATTTATTTCTTAACATTTCCGGATAATATCCGTTTAATCGGCACTACATTAATTAACGACGTACGATTAATACAGAATTGCCGCGGAGAAGGCCAAGACAGCCATATAATAAGCACGCTTAGTTTTAAAAACGTTTATGCGTGCCAAAGTTTTACATTTGAAATAACGATATTTAAAAAAAATAAACGAATACGCTTTAATTAGAATAAATGTAAAAATACCGATCGAAAGAATGGCCGACGAGGTGATAAACCGAAACGATGAGGGAAAAACACGGCTGACAAATCGAAAACCTACGATACGTTACGCGCCACTTCGGGCACGTTCGCCATTCCCGGTCTAGCCCAACAGTTCCAGTTCCAGAAGTGGAAGCGTATTCCCACCTGTATTTTATACTATTGCAAGCGTGTTTTTATTTTAGCTTTTTATTTTAATATTTGTTACCATAGAGATGTCACCGAATACTTACTATATTACTATATTTGCGTATAATTTAAATCGATACTCTGGCTCTTATAAGGTAAAATAGACTGGCACAAGTAAGGGCGCGTTGTAAGAGGGGTCTCAAATGTGTGGAAACGAAAGATTTTCACGTATAAGAGCGTGCTGTTATTCGCGAGGTCGAGGCCGAAGTTTTAAACGCGAAAACGTGTACGTCGGACGTTCGGCGCCGCTTTCCCGTAAGCCTAAAAGTTCGACGATGGTGTTTGAATAGTCGATGGAATCACGCTCGACGTCCCAAACTCCATCGTCAAAATTCTAGGCTTACGGGAAAGCGGCGCCGAACGTCCGACGTACACGTTTTCGCGTTTAAAACTTCGACCTCGACCTGGCTATTTGCACAGAAATACGTTGTGTAGACAAATGACTAAGAAAGAGCAGTATCCTTTGTAATAAAAACAACTACACTTTGTTTCTGTATAACGAGGAATTTTTCACCGGTTATCTTTTAATTTTCATGGTTGAATGTGCCAAAGTTATTATTATTGTCCAGAGTTCTCTTATGCCGAAACGAAATTCCGTTACTTTTATCGGTGTACTCTGCTGTACGTACGATACGATCTAAGGCTGGACAGACCGCCGTGGCAAGGATAATTTCGTAGCAACGCCTAATATTTTGGAATTACTCGTACGCCTGCCAATCGAGACGAATTTGCACAAGATATTAAATAATGCGTATATTTTGATAAATAGATGGAAAGTATTCTAAGTGAGTGGACGAGGAGAAGAAAGAAAAACGATAAAATGACTATTTTCAGAATAATAACTATAAAAATCCAGCAACGAGTCGCTTAACTTTTCCGGCGACATCGATTAAAACTGCGCGTGCGTCGACATCCGTTACGATATTTTATTTGAAAAACGTCTTATATTTTTAATTATCATAAAATAACAAAAATCTTAACTTTGACGGTAGGGATGAGCATTATAATAAAAAAATTTAAATGCTAATAAGAAGTAAAATCGTCATTAATTAGGTCCAATCTTACTGGAGGTACGACCAGTGATCCTCTTTATCTTCCACCTCCTCGACTTTTAATCACCAAAATTTAATAGCATCCATCCCCTAATACGCAAACCTCCCGGCAAATTTTCGACAAAAAGCGCGGGAGTTATTCAGCTTCAAGCGGGGCGAAGAAAATCGCGCTCCCCGCACACACTAACGTCCATACATACAGAATCCTCTGCCCACTTCGCGTTTATCGACGTTTCCAGATGTCTCGAGTCAAAAAATGTACAAATCTTGGGGAGGGGTCATTTTTTGGCCGATTGCCATACTTTTCCTCTGTTATATAGGCTATATAACAGTCGGGAAAGTAAAAGTATATAATAATNAAAATTATACAAAAATTTATTTTCATAAATTTATAATTACTTTTAATAAAAGCTTTTCATTTATCATGAATTTTGTAATAACTAGTTGATAGAAAAAGATAATCGTTTGAATATAGTCTTTCAACAACTAAGATATTCATTTTACATTTACTGGGAAATGTATATTAAAAAAAAAAAAAAATGATTGTAAATATATACTAGCCAGAATCCATTAAATATTCAGTCTGATCAGAATATGACTTGCAAATTAGTTCAATGTCACTGTCATTAGAATTCTGAATAAATATTTTCATAAATGGTATTCATCTCTTCTTTCTTAACTTTGCAAAATTCACTTTTGAAAGAAATAAATATTTTTGAAAATATTTTTATAATTTAATATTACGGACTTTTTGAAAGTACGGCGGGAATCGGGCGGGGTCGAGTCCCGTCCCCTTTCCTCTTCCTCGTCGCCCTCGAGACCATCCGGCGCGAGCGTCGGAGCCGGCATCCATCGGCTCGACCGGGACCGTGTCGGAGATTTGGGTTTTGCCGACGATTTCGCCCTATTAGAGGAAAGCGAGACGACGCTACCGCGCGCCACGGCCGCATGGAGTCGGGAAGCGCACAAAATTGCCCTCGGGGCAAACGCCGCGAAGACGAAAATTACGCCCAAACGACGGGAGTAACAACGATTGGAGGAGGTGAAGAGATTCGCCTACTCGGGTAGTGTTGTTTCCCAAAACGGTGAGGCGAATTGCCGCGTGGGAAAAGCGGCGACGGTCTTCCGACGGACGAACAAAATCTTATCCTCACCATCCGTCTCATCGAGAATCAAATCCGCCCGTTGGCCTCCGTCGCCATTCCGATAGCCGTTTACGCTAGCCAGTCCCGGAAGACACGGGGAAACATGGAGAGAAGGCTCGATGTCTTCCGACAGACATGACTACGACGAATCCTAAAAATCCCATATTTAGATCGGATCACCGACGAAGAGGTTTCCCGAAGGAGTGGGTTGCGTAAATTTCGTAAGATCGTGGATGGTAGAAGAGTCCGACCGGCCGGCCACATTTTTCGTACGGAGAACGATAGGATCCCTAAGGCGACCCGCGAAATGGTTTCCCCCGGTGCCAAACCACCGCCAGGACGCCCCAGGAATACTCGGCCTACAACTACTATTACTACTACTACGTTTATTATATACTTTGTTAATGGAAGTAAAAAATAAAAATACGCGGATATCGATTTTTAACGCGGGATTTGACTAAGGCGCGAAATTAATGGCGGCAATCCTTTTATACGGGCGGCGGAAGTTTCGATTAACGCGGCTTTAACGGCCGTCTTTACGTAGCTGGGATACGTTTTTCTCGGCAAATAAGGCGTCGACGGATTGGCTATTTTCCTTTCCCCGGTGATTTCCCTTATAGTTCCGTAGTCTAATTACGATAGTGGCGAATTTTAACGCATTACCGCTAACGCCATATCGTATTCTCCGTTTAGAAGCTTATTTTAAGACTTTACTCGGCATTTTATTCGCGTAAAATTAATCGGAATGTCCGCGGATAAAACGCGTATCGGGCGTATTACGTACGCCTTTTAAGTTCGGTAAAGGATATAACGCTACGCAAATAGTAAAAAATACTCTTAGCGTGTACGGGGAAGACGCCGCTAAACGTCGGACGGGTCGAACCACGGGACGATACGATTCCGTTCCTCGCGCATTAAGTGAAAAAAAAAAAAACTGGATCGAGTGTAATTTTGTCTGACGAAGGCGGGCCGCTATAAGCTTTCATTTTACTCTTAAATTAGTTGCACATTTTTATCGTAGAATACTTTTTTACGGACGACGAAAGTAATATAAAAGCATTTCTTATTAATCCATATTTGTCTTAGGGGGTGGCGATGGTTGGGTCGAGTACCCGGGTACCGCCCTATCCGATTAACGCCATTACCATATACGCGGTAGCGTCGACGGATTAATTCGTGGCGTTAATTAAGGGATACCCGTATTGTTTTTCTCGTATTCTATCGCCAGTTATAATAGGCTTATATAATCTGCTTCGTACATTTTAATTATAAATTAAAGTAAAAAATAGGCTATATATAGCCTACACGTGGTCAACTGGTCCTGGGACTGAGAAAACTTTTAGAAAAGCTTAGAAGATATAATAATTCTGATGCGTTTTAATTACCTATATTCAAAGTTCATCGAGAAGAGAAGCCACGCGTGAAAATTATTAAATCTCCTAAATAAAACTATTTACTTTGGCTATTTAATCGGCGGCGCACTTTCCTAATTGATAAAATTGGAAAAAGGAGAAAGCGTTTCGGGAGTTTTATACTTTCGATCAGTATACAGTATAGCGTCGATTATCCGAATCGATTGGGACAGGGGTTGTTCGGGAAGATCCGTGTTTCGGATAACCGATTATGTACAAAATATATATTAATTTAGCCCAGCTTGACATTTTTCTCCGTCGCGTGTCGCTTCGCGTCGAATTTTCGTCGATGTTAAGCCTAACGAAGACTATTGTATCGTTAAAAATTATTTTTTATTTTGTACAAACAAAATAAATATATTGAAAAATATGAAAATTGTACTTCAGAAGTTAATTTAGTATCAAAAACGTAAAATATTTGAGTAGCCCGAGACGTAGCCAAAGATTGCGGCGCCGCAGCACTGGCGAAAATTTAAATTTGCCGACTGGAATTCTTTCGGATAATTGATTTTCGGATAATCGACGCTCTACTGTAAATACGTGTGGGAAAATGTAAGAAGCGCTTGAAGATGGCAGAATCTGTAATTTCATTTAGAAATAGACCGTGTCAAAGTCGAACGAAAGCCCACGACTGGCCGAATTATCTCGAGTTTTCGCACGCGGGCTCAAAAAAGTTGCCCGTCTCCGGACTAGACGGTTCCTGTTCGGTTTATACGCGCGTAATAGAACGCGTCCGTCCGTTCTCGGCCGTTTGGTCGATCCGCCGTAAATTTTTCTCGCTTATTCTCCGGTACTCCGAAAAAGATACGGACTACCCGCCACCCGGAGGCGTCACTCTTTTCGGTATCCTCGAATCTTCGTAGACTAAAACGTCCAAATGTTTAATACGATTTTCATTTTAACGTTTAGTCGTCTTACTATTTGGCAGGGACGTACTGTACGCGTTCGCGCTAGTTACTAGACGAAAAAATATTATAAACCGTAATAAAAATTTAAATAGCGAATTGTTAAAGTATTTATGGAAACGACAGCCGGCTCTTACCGGCGCAAAAATACGATAGTCATTTTCCGAAATTGTGGAAAATTTGAGATTAACGAGGAAGAGTCGTTCGTCCTCCAACCCAAACGATCGTTTACGGTTTTATCGGCGTTTGCCCGGAAACTACGGCCATAAAAGGGAGCGCGCTCGATCGTCATTAAAAATGTATACAACGCGTACAAGTGTACGCCTCGCTCGTCTTCTACCGTAGCCTACCTTACCGCGCGGCGAAAAAGAAAAGAGTGCGGAAACATTTAAATTTCCAAATAAGTATAATAAGCGGAGTTATTTTGGGTGCCGTTTCCGTGGTCGTAATTAAGTTATTTATCGCTAAAAATTAGGCCATATCGTACCGTAATGGCAAAATTAGTTTTTTAAGGGCCGTGGACCAGTCTCAACTTTTTCGTTTATCGGCATTTAATTAAAACGATACTTTTACATTAAAATATTCGGTAAATATTTTTCTAAATTCAGACAGTAAAATTTGTCATATAATAGATTTTTAAAAATATTATTATTATTATTGTAAAATAATAAAAATATTAATTACATTAGCCTACGGCTATTTTTTCGGAGAATTAATTTATTTATACGACTACGGCTAATGTAAATTGTCGGAAGCGTACGGTATGGGTAGCGGACTTAGACCGGAGGAGGAACGTAAACGAAACGCGGGCCACCGCGGAAAATCGTCGAATCGAACCGCCCTCCCGAGGAACTGAGCAACGTCTAACGTTAATTCTACGAGCAGCGTATTCTTCGTAAGTAGTCTGTAGTATTACGCTAAACATTTTCTCAAAAAAATACCAAAATAGTCGACGATGCCATCTAGCGAAGACTCCGACAGTTATTTATTGGAAAAATTATTTTTCATTTAAAATGACTTTCGCCTAAAATCACTTACCGCCATCTATCGTTAATACTACCAACCGTTTTATAGGTAATAGGTAACCTACCTGCTTCTAAAGCGCCCCAGCCGGCGGCGTACCCTATTCTTCCTAAAAAATCGGCATTCTTCTCGGGTAGACAAATCGGCTTCATGTTATATTTGTAGGATACGGGTCGGTCTAGTATCAGGACGGAGACGTCGTATCGATCGGCCTGCGGCGTAAATCTGAAATTCGGATGCAACTTCACCCGCTCTACCCCAAAGGATTCGCTGGGAATGCTCTCCATGTCCGAATTGAGAATGTAATCCCCCACCGTCACTCGAATGTTACTCGGATTGAACTGCGATCTGAAAAATAAACGGTCCGTCATTTTCCTATCTTTAAAAAGTCTCCCTTTCACCGATTACGAAACCGATTTCGCTGGAAAAAAGCGTGGTTCGTCGGTGACGCCGCAAATTATAAACGTTTAAAAACGATCGGTTGCCATCGTTAACGTCGATTCTCCGGGATAAGCGATTATCCGTCCAAAAACACGGACGACGGGAGATATATTCGAAACCAGACCGGGTTAATAATTGTAGTAGCCTATTTGTCTTTAAACGTTACTCGCTTCAAATCGCGTATGTCCAGAAAAGTAGGTGTTATCCCAATCCATTCCTCGGTTTTAATGTGAAAATAATAGCGTGTACGCGCTATACAAACAACAGTGACAATTCGATATTCGCCGATGCGGACATTAACTAACGATGCGTCGAAACGTCGCCGTTACGCCGTATAAATGTTAAAATTGTACGCAACGTTGACGTTTCGAGAAATACGGCTAACTTATTTGTATCGAACTAATTGTTGCCGTAGAAAAGAGAAACGACCAATATTCGATCCGCTTAGTGCGCGTTGCTTAATGTCCGCGCCGACAAATATTGACTTGTCACTGTTGTTTGTGTAGCGCGTACACGCTATTATTTTCACATTAAAACCGAGGAATGGATTGGGATAATACCTACTTTTCTGGACATACGCGATTTGAAGCGAGTGACGTTTAAAGACGAATAGGCTACTACAATTATTAACCCGGTCTGGTTTCCAACGTATCTGTTATTTTAATAAAAAAATGAATTATTCGTCTCTTTGTCGGTGTTTTTGAGTTGACTCACACCGCTTTTCGCATTTTTTGATTGTATTGCATCGTTTGATAGAATTTAGTGGTGAGAAGCTGGTTTTCAAAAATAATTCGTTATTGCTCGAATAAATATTCGTAATTCTCGCAATCGTAAATGTACTGTATTGTACTGTACGCGCAATTGCTATCGTTACGATAATAACTAAACACCCGACGACCGGGGAAAAGTAACATTTCTGTAACACGCTTATATCAGTTCATTGATTTTTTTAGGTTCGGGGATGTCAAAACGTGATTATTTCCACGTCGGGTCGGTTCGACGAAAGACAACGGCCGTACACAAAACGTTATCCGGCGGAAAAAAAAGAAGAAAAGGGGGAAGGGAAGAAGAAGATAGAAAGAACGAGGAAGGATCCCTTCGAGCGGTGTATGTAAGGTTACTACTCCCTTTACGTATAATGTTGGCCTTCAATTTTCGGGCTGCCGGGCCGTGGGTGGAAAAGAAAACCCGAGTTGTAGTATACGCCAATAAGTAGTGCGGCTACATAAAAGCTAGACGGACTAAAGTTTGATGCTTACGGTAAAGGTTTAAATCTAATACTAAAATTAATACAGAAACTAAGCTAGCGAGCCCTATAAGAAGCAAAATAACCTAACTGAAACAACCGGGAGAAACTGCGAACATACTGCCTACCCACGCTCGAGACTGACTCGAGCAAGGTCCATAGCGTTACAAAAATCCGGGCGTTTGGGTCCCCGAAATTTTTTCCTCAATTTTTGGAATGTTTTTTAGCTCCCCAAATTTTTTTAAAATTTTTTTCCCGCGCGAAAGAATTTTATTGCGATTTTAATCAACCTTTAATGACGCGCGCTTCACGCTATATTGCTTTTTAATTGTTTTTTAATGGGACTTTTTTATCAAATTTATTTCATGGTTCTAAAGTTGTAGCGCACGGATTTTCCTTCGATAAAGTTATCTAAAGTTGCTTTCTGATGTCAAAAATCACCTCCGATAGTTTTTCAATTTTTTAATTAATATATTTTATTATATATATGTTTAATTAATTAGGGGATCGAAAATCGCAATAAAAATTATAATTTTTTAAAAATACTTAAAAATATAGACCTAGTTAGTAGTCACCCTACTTTAAACCCTTTTCCTCCCGAGACGTCTATGAGAATGTCCCGGGAAATCCAACTCCAGCTGTGTTCGAGGTCATCCAGATGTGTAAACAATGTCTCGTCGGTGTTCAATTTCACAGAAAGGCGAGAGAAAGGAAAATAAATGATGAAGCTTTTTAACCAAAATTAACGCATTTCTTTCGTTTTTTTCAGTTTTAAGTATTTTTTATGTTTAATTAAAAATTTTTTTAAAAAAGTGGACAAGAAGGGGCTAACAGTTCCGCACTAGGAACAGTTCCAACAGCGAAACTGAATTTCCAACGCGTATCACGTAAGACTCGGACCGCTTCGTTTTTCGCCACTCTAACATTTGACGAAAGGTGCGGCCATGGCGGCCGCATTTTCGTAACCGCAATTAGCTCGATCGGAATTCCTCCAAAAACGTCCAATTACGCATCGACCCTTTGTAACCCGGCGCTTTTAATTGTTAAAAGACAAGTAACGCGTGTTCTTTTTGGTTTGGTGGATGGTGGCGCCATCTACGGGAAATTTGTTAACTTAACTCGGGAAGAAAAGAAAATTTGAACGTTTTGAGCCAACTCAGACCGGAAGGAAAAGGAAGTGGACTTAAAGTCCTCCGTAATTATATGGCGTTTATAGCGGAATACGGCGGGTCCGACGGACGTAAATCGCACTCCACCGGCAATTTAAACGACGATACGTGAATTCCGTTTAGAAAAATACCAGTCTTACTTAGCCACGCAGTGGCCGGCGGTGACGACGTGCCTCCAGGCAACCAGCGCTCCTCCGCATCTACTTCCTCCGATTTGGATGAATACCTGTAAATAACGTCGGCTGGCTTAAAGGTAATTTCACAAATAAGTCTAAAATATATTCTTTGCCGGCGCGCGACGGTTCTCCCGAGTCTTACGCCATTCTTACAGCTGTCGGTACCGGTACTTAATAACAGCTTCAACGCGCGCGACAAAGCGGATGGAAATCCTATTTACATCTCGGGAACGGCGACGACAGCGTAATTTCGCGGAATTCTGTCGCGCGAAATTTAACTCGGCGTAATTTTTAAATCGGTTAAAAAAGTCTTTCTATACACCGGACTATCGCCATCCGTTTTCGTATTTTTCCGGGACCGAATCGCCCGCGGTGCGATTTACCGAGGATCGGGAAATAAAAAGAGCGTTGTGGTAAGAGTGCGCATTATACGGCGGTTACCTGCCAAGGGAACTGTCCGAAGGCGGCGTCGCTACCTCCGACGATCCTTCTGGTGTTCTCCGAGTTCCGGCCGCAATCTAGCGAGACGGTTTTACAAAAGTCAGTGGACTTAAGCAGAGAATTACAGAGTTAAAGGAGACGGCTTACGTACACGGATCGTTTCTGACGGGTCCGTAATATGCGGGTTGTATTTTCTGCTCGGCCGCCGACGAACAGCAGGTGAAGAAGGGTCCGCAGGGTGTGGTGACCACGCCGCCGGACAGCCAACAGGTCAGGGTGAGTTGGCACTGGCTTCCCGTAGTACAGTCGGAAAACAATGCGGCCCGAACCGGTTTCAGCAGCGAGAAATTCACTAATCCTCTGGGAAACGACGAAATGGATCCTAATAAACAAAACGCATAAATCTTCTTCGGCTAAAGGTTAAAAAAATACAGCGCCGGAAGAAGCGCATTCTTGGCGGGACGTTGACACCGGCACCTATGAATATTTATTATTTATACCCCTACCGCAATTACCGGACGAAATCTGGTAGAAATTCTCGACTGGTTAACTTATATAAATGCCGCCGACCACTCTTAAACTGCCAGATCCCGTCCACGCGCGGCAACCCCTTTCTATCGATTAAAAGTGGCTTATAAACGATGGCGCGGACATATTCGGAGTCTGTACTTACTTTCTATCTTGGTGTAGTTTGTCCGGACGGCCGAAGTTAACCGTAAAGAAAATACGAAAACCAGTAGGGCTGCTCGCATCGTGTACCCAGTACATCTGTACGTCTGCAAAACAATATTAAAAATCATTCTGTGTTTAACCGCTCCAATAGTTTTGTAGGCTTTCCCCCGGTCCTAATCTTACGTATAATTACGTTTCCGAAGACGATAACGGGAGGAAGTTTCGTATAATTTTCGAGTACGCGCGGGTTTAACGCGGTATTTTGACTAGGTGTACGTTCGTGTATATTCTTCTCTCGTACTTAAGCTTATTCAAAAATGCACTCCGCGCCTACACCCGTCCGTTAGATTTTAATTCGGTGTTCGCTTTACGTATTATTGTCCAATTTCGTCCAATCCGCGTAAAATACGTCACCATCGGGCGAATCTCGTCCGATTGTCCCGTTCGAGTCTAGTGATAAAAAAAATCCGGAAACCGGTTGCGTAACTTTCCCGGCCAAGCTTTAAAATCGCGTGAGGGTCTAACCGATACGAGATTTTGTTTTAAAAACTTTTTATATTATTAATTAGTATAATATGCAAACAAGATTCATTTCCAGAGTGGAAGCGAGTTTTATAAAACATTACAAATACCAATAAGGAGTAAAATCTTCATTAATTTAAGTCCGACCCCACGCCAGACAGACACCCCCGTAGCTCCCGCAGCCCGGACCGTTAGCCACCGAAGGCGAAGCGTCGATACTCCTAATACCCAAAATTCCCCGGCAAAATTTCAGAAAGTTTAGACGAAAGGGGTTTCTAAGGTTCAAAGTGGGTAAACAAAGTCTTGTTTACCCACTTTGAATCTTATACACGCGCTAGCATCCATACGTATAGGGGAATCGAATGTTTACATTATTCGGCCTTTCCAGATCCACCGGGTCGAAAAATGTAAAAATGTTGGGATAGGCCATACTTTCCCTCCGTTTGACGCGGGTAACGTTTTTTATTTCGACCAATAAATTAATTTTATCGGTCGAAATATTCGCCTTGGCATTCAATTATACTTTTTCGACGGGAGGGCAATTTGAAAATACAATTTTGTACGTGATCCGAACGACTCCCGAAAAAATCTTCCCGGCTGTCGGATGGACTGGAACGTCGGTCGAACCTTCCCGGCAGATTTATAGGGCCGGGGGCTACAAAGAGTAGGCCACGAGTTAAGGCTAAAAAGCTATCTTTGGCTGGTCGTTCCGGCGCTTTTGTTTTTTACCAGAAAACGTTGCAGAAATTACCAGGAATAAAATAATACCATCGGGACGGAACTTTCGCCTCCTCCTCCCTATCCTCTCGACTCGTCTCCGTCGGATTACCGCATTTTTTATCTTCGGGCAGTAGTCGGCGTGGAAAACGATTGGCAAATCGCGCAGCTGCGAAAAATTCCGTAGGTTTTTAATGCCGAAAATAGGTATTTTCAAAGCGCTGTCCCGTTGGGAAGACGCGACGGAATGCCGAGGTAAAAGTTTCGTCGAATAAAATTGGTTTAAAACAAAAAATATCAGCATTTATATTGGCATTTCAAAACCACATTATTTATTTGGTTACCCGACGTAATTACGTTAATCTTCATTGTAACCAAGCCATTTGAATAGGTACGAAGCGCGACGGACGGACGAAAATCGGACATTTGGGTTCTTGCGCAGAAAATCGTCGGCAAGAAAACGAGGCGGGCGCTATTTCCGAGTAAGACGATTACTCGGGGTCCGAAAAATTTGTCGTTTTCGTTAAGTAGGGCGCAACCGACGGCGGCGGCCATCGACTTCGGGGGGCGGAAGGGTGGGGCCATAACCGAAAGCCAGGTAAGAACTTTCCGTAGATCCTACTTTTACGGGGAAAATATATTAATTTCGCGTAATCCGCCGGTGGACACCTCGACCGGTAGGCCGCTCCCGGGCCGTTTGGACGCCGCATTCCATTCCCGCCGCCGTCCGTAGTCTTTTAAGAGTCCAAAACTGGCACACGGGTTGTCCACCGTTAAATTCCCTCGAGTACAAAAATAAAAGGCGGGAGGCCGAGCCCACGGGGGTAAGGGTAAGGAGGAGCGAAGGCAAGTGTACGGTACGGTACTTACGTTTGTACGGAGGAAGACGTGCGGATACGGAGCCAGGACTAACCCGGTATCGCGGCGGTCCCGCGAACGGCGCGGGGCGAGATGTGACCGTTATTCGTTTCCGTCCCCCCGGGGGACGTCGTTCATCCGCTCCGACGAAGGTCGCCGGGCCGAACGTGACGTCGGCGGGCGAGGACGCCGGATTCGCCCCGGCGAGAAAGTACCCGGCGTTTAAATTGGCGCCGTTTTAACGGGCAAAAGGCGCCAGACCCTTTCTCCAGCCACGTCCGCGCCTAACCGCGGCGGAACCGGAACCTGGACGGATAGGAAGACGAATTTCGGCGGAACGGGATGGGTAACGTCCGGAGAAAGTAGGGACAACGACCCCGGCCGGCGAACGCTCGGCGCAATTAACACCCCGTCCGACGGAGTTTCTCGGAGCGGAAGCGGAAGACTACCTCTTCGACAGATGGCGCCCGACCTCCCACCCGACGTCCCTTCGTCTTATTACCTACGGAATTCGTTAACCGCCTTAAAATCTTTTCAGAAAAGGTATCGGTAACCGACGTACTAAAGTACTTTAAAGTGTGGATTCATAGAGTTTCTTTCAATGGTTAATATGGAGGGCGGCTGACACAGGCTATTCGTCGATAAAGTTTACTGGATGCCTCGATGGCTAACACCGATCGGACACTCGGTACCTACTATATCCGTACAGCCTGGGCACTGGGCCGGGACTACTTGGCAAAAAATCGTCATCGTGGCCCGGTCCTAAGACTCGGCTAGGCCACGCAATTACCGAGAATTACTCAGTAAATCGCCTCTCGACTCGTCCGTTCTATCCCAGTTACTCTCCCGCGGTGACGCCGGTAGATCCACGCGCCCGAAATTTTCTTACCACCGGATGGGGACGAGGGGCGGCATCGACCGCCGCCCGACGTAAGTTACCTTACGTAAGCCGGGCCGGGTTATTACCTAGGCGTTAAGTCTGTCGTCCCGCAGCCTCCGAAACGTTACTCTTAGCCCGGGGCGAGGATTAATAAATGTTGTTTGGCCGAGGAAGGAAACCTGTTGGATGTCGACCCGACGTGATTTTCCATAGTCGACAACGAGCCGTCTCTAGTTTAGGTGTTACCTCGCCGGGTAACCGCTCCTTGGTCGGAACGGCTGGCCCGACTCCGGGAAATTATGGTTTTCGGCCGGTGCTTACGTAATTACGTTACGTCGCCGAGGTTATTCTTTTAATTTTAATTCGGCCATGGGCCGGGACTCCACCCGGCCCCGGCTCGGCCCGGCCTAGTCCCGGGTAAAACCTATAGTCATCCCCCGTATTCCCCTCCCGTAATTAATTTTCGAGTCGGTTTACGGTTTCTCGGCCGTTAAAGACGTAATACGAAAATCCGACGGCCGTTTCCCCCCGCGGAGGCGACGGGGAAGGACGGCGCCGGAAGTAACCGTAAAATTGGCTTCTCCTTCTCCCTTTTACGCCTGGCGCGTAGACGAGTAGGCGCTTTTAACTTACGCCCATTACCGTACTTTAATTCCACTTTCCCGCCTGCCGCGCCGTACGTACCGTAGTCGATTTTCTATGCCCGGCTACCGGTAATTTAATTCTGCGCGTATTGTGAATATTGTCTTTATTAGCGCGGAACGGAATTTTGGAATTTGATATAATCATAAAAAATACGATAGAACGGGGACGGCGCGATGTTTTAAAATAAGTTTAATAAAACGCGACCACTCTATTGCACTTTCCACGTGGCGGCTAACTTATTTCGCTTCCGTACGCGTGCTAAAACTTAACGATTTTCTCCTTTTTGTAAAACGCCCGGAGATAAAATTGCCGTTGTGATGTCGGAGCGCTCGGCATATTTCCAGTCCCCAACGTTTTTCTCATTTTGCTTTCTTTTACGCTTTTCGTTACCCGCTTCTTCCGTTTCCACCCACGGGCGTTTATATTTTGTGTGTGGGGAAGCGCGCCGCGCAGTCGGGCGCCATACTGGATTTATCGCCTCCGTACGTGGTTATTTCTAAAAACGGAGAATCCCGCAAAGAACGTCTAACCGTAGACAATACGACGTTCGACACTGCGGAATCCTTCCGAGTACTAGGGATTGACATAAACAGAAATAATGACGTCGAGAAGGAAATAGGAAATGGCTGGCAAAAGGGAAACAAAATGTACTTCGGGCTGACAAACAGACTGTTTAGTAAAAGGACGAAACTAACTGTAGGGGAAACTTGTCTAATTCGTACTTGCGCCTAATTCGTACTTCGCTTATATCTTCACTCCCGTAATAGCTATTAGTGTCTCTAGTAGCAAAAGAAGTAAATAACAATCGGTCGCTTATATCTTCACTCCCGTAATAGCTATTAGTGTCTCTAGTAGCAAAAGAAGTAAATAACAATCGGTCATATTACCATCTGACAGACAACACGCTGTTACTCTGCTCCCGACAAAAATATTGAAAAGGAAAGTTTTTTTCAACTTTTTCTGTAATATTTTTGCACATTTCGTACGAAATTTCTTCAAATTGGATCATACGTAAGTTTTTTAACTATCTGTGGTGTATTAGTGCGTATTTTTGTGATTTCATCCGAAGTGATGAAACACGCGTATCT